AAAAAAATTCGTTATAAAAAAAATCCGTTATATCGAGAGGCATTTTTATATAAGAAATTCACACACTTTACTTCGTACTACGTTATACGGTAAATAAATAGTAAACTTCGTTATATCAAGGTTTTTTTCATATTTAAAATCGGTACCACACTGTATGATCTGTTATATCATGTTATTCGCTATATCGAGGTTCGCTGTAGAGAGGGGTGACTGTATATTTCAGTGCCTTGTATATCAAATGGGAAAAAGTCTAATTTGTGCCTTTTATCCGCCTTTGGGTTCACATTATGAAAATGATCCTCACTAATATATGGCCGTTTTGCAATAACAGTATTAATAGAATCATCACCAATACCCTTAATAGTATTTTTCAACCCATTTATATCCCAAAAATTGGGATTAATATCCCTAGTAAGAAAAAATGTGGCTCGTGCTGAAAAAACGGGGCCAAAGTAGCTCTTAAAATTGTCCTTTGAAACAATCAGAATTTCTGGTAAATTTTCACTCCCCTCATATGGTTGTGTAGTAAATATGATCGTTATGATTTTAATCCCATGAAGCTCAGAATGTTTGACGCTATTAAAATTCTTCTCGTCTTCATCACTAACATTTTTCTCAGTCATCTTATTTGAGCCATAATCCCATTTGTTTTTGTTTTGACACATTATAATATAAAAAACTCCAGATACATCTTCCATAACATAAAATATGTTTCTTGGTTCAGCAGAAGTACCATTAACAACAACACAATGCCCATTATCCCAGGGGATCTTCGAACCATCAGAATTATCTGTCAAATTTAAATTTAATGGAAATTGCTCTCTTGACTTATATATGGGAGGTGGTCAGTAGAAAAGGAGGAAATCCAAATTTTAGTCAAAATTTTTTTTATCAGTTTACTTTGCCAATCATGGTCATGGAAACAAAATTAGCTTAATAACCAAAAATCTTAAAATTTTTGAATTTCCCCCTTTTCTACTGACCGCCTCCCATATACCAAGCTCTTTCAATTTCATAACAATATCCAAGTTTTCTTTCGTTCCATAAGCACCAGGATGTAGATTTCGAAGGGATAGCTCATTTTCCCTCATTTTAATGGCCAGATTGATACGAAAGGCAATGTGATGTCCTACAAATAATTCCCATTCTTGCCAATACATAAAACTATTATTTACACTAAAGGCCTTCCTCATAAGTTCTACATCAACAATCTTTAAGATATCATTATAAATGCAAACAAAAAAAAATGGCATTTCAATAAAGAACAAATCTTGACCGTCATATGAAGAGAGAGAAAAGTGCCCTTCGGGTTGCAGATCTTTGACTGTTGTCCCTCTATTATCTAAGCGCTTATTTTCTTCAACAGGGATCCCCTCAACGCAATGATACAAAAGATTCATGAAAAGTCCCTTATCACCGTAAACCTGTCTATAAATGGCGTACATTTTTTGAAGATTACTCTTAACGATTGAGAAAATATTATTATAATCATAATTTAGGTTCTCAAAGAATTCTTTTCCATTACCACCTACTGTCTTGAAACATACGTCAAGGAGTCATTCAAGTGCACGAGGCAAACCTCCAGTATCTATCAGAAGTTGTAAAAATGGAGCACAAAGCTTCCACTTATATACATGTTTTGTTGTTGGTAGTGCTACGCCTTTTGTTTTTGGTGCTACGCCTTTTCGTGCTACGCCTTTTTTAATTGGTGCTTCAAGGTTTAATAATGTTGTTGATGCTTTAAATTTTGTCACAAAATGGTCCATAATTAGAATCATCGATTTAATGTCCAATAATGGACAATCAACAAACTGAAATGAGATACCCGTAGCTTTTTTTTGTTTAGTAATAGCTCGTGTTGCTGTTCCTGAGAGGAATGGTTGTATAAAAGTAGAATATTCACCAATCATGAATTTTGAAATGCCACGGATCATATTCCCAAAGAATTGGTTTGTTTTATTTTGTGCATCCCATTCATCAATCAATTGAAATTCATCAATATGAAGATACAAGAATAATTTTTGATTGTTGGAGAACTTCAGAGATTCATAGCAATAATAAATGACGGAATCAAAAATGAAAATATCTTCGCCGTACTGAAGAGCTCTAGAGCAGAACACTAGGAATGTGGTGTCGTATTTTTTTTCAATGAAGAATGCATAAGCAATACGCAATCCAAAAATTACCTCTGATTTAAGTTCGCTGTCATATCTACTAAGGTAAAAATTATTCCTGAAATTCATATAGAGATATTCAAAATGTGCATCACCCCATTCTTCTGGAGGTTCCAAATTTTGTTTGATGTAATCAAAAAGCTCTATTCCAAATCGAGTTTTTCCTATTCAAGGAATTTCAGATACAGATGGCAATCTATATAAATCATTTAGAAAAGACATAAGAAACTAAGAAACTTACCTATCCCAGGAGCTCCTGCGCTGACGATACACCAATAATTCGAATAGCCCATCTTTCCCTCAACATTAGCTACTGCGGTTTCTGTAATTTTAGCCATTGCCTCTCTAAAGTCACGTTGTTGCAGTGGCATGTCATTTGATTCGTAAGATGATTTGGGCTTACGCTCTTTCAAATCCTTCGTAATTTCTTTAATAATTTCTCCAACTAAAGAGAGGCGGTAAATTTACATTAAATTCGGTATTAGAATAGTTCAAGCAATAAAGATTGTGCGCACTTACTGGTTTTCCCGGTTTTCAAAGAACCTAATTGTTTGAAAAAAAAAAATCATGATTGGGGAATGTGATGTAAACAATAAAATCGATTTTTGTTTGAGAGGCAAAATGTTGAGAAGCACTTACCAGTGGCGGGCAATTGTACGATGACGTGAATGTTCTCATCTACAAGCAATTGTTCCAAAAAAACTTTCTTAATCAAGAATATGTATCAACCGCTCGCCTCCAAATTTTTCTATAATATCATCTTTGGTAGTAACATGTTTAAGTTTGTCTCTTTCACCGTAAGCGATATCAACCTTCCAAAGGTCAATGTCCTTATAATTAAACTTAATATCATGATTAATCTCATTATAGACAAGATACTTGAGGTCTAAAATCTTTAAATTATCAAATTTGACCAAAGAACCATGAATGTTGCTTTCTTTAGCAACGTCAACCACAAAAGTATCAAGAAAAGAAGTCTTTCCTAGGAGTAAACAATTTATTGACACCATCATTTCATTTGGGAGATAATTTTGTAAAAAAAAGAATTTTTAGGTGTTTTTAGTGTGAGAGAAATTTTGAGGACATATAAAACCTTTCCGAATTCATCATGATTAATAATGAAATAGACTCTGAATCTTGATCAGTGGTAATATGATCATTACACAAAAAAAATGATTAATACGGTGACTTATGTACTAGGCTACTTGCCTATTTCATACATGAGATAAATTACTAATTGTGAGTATTGTATTACCAACTTAATGTTTACCAATAACTAATATAGTTATAATGCGGAAATTATTAAGTGATGATAGATTAATAGATCTCGAGATACTAACAGTCAGGCGAGTCAGACGCAGTTAAATGATATTAAGTATGATATACACCTCCAATATTGTATAGTAGAGTGATACGAGAGTATGGTGGAGGTGTTGAGTAGAGTATAACGTGGATGTGACATTATACTCAAGTGATAAATAAACACCTCGGCCCAAGCTCTACTATACAACGTCGAACATACTCAATAATTGAACAAAAAATCTAGCTTATATGAATTTATTTATATATTGAATTTTTTGTATTAAAAGAGTAACAAATGATTTATTTAACAATCTCAAAAAGTCTGTTAACCATATCCACAGTAATTACCATGAGGTAATATTACGAACAAACGACATACTCGAATAATTGTTTTAGATTTTATTAATGTAACGATCACTTAATATTTGCATATATAATATAATAAAATATATTTATATCAACTGTATTATCTAGGATCAAGGTGTAACATTATTAATTTTTTTCAATTGAAGGCGTATTTTTGTTTTACATCAGTTAAAATTTTTATACAATAAGAATTATTTTTGTATTGTATAATAAATAAGAAAATAAATCAAATGTTTTTTTTGATGCGTGAATAATCTCATGTTTGTCTAATAATAATAGTTTTAAAATATAAGCTAGATCTTTTTTGGTAAAAAAGACAATTGTTCGGTTAAAATCATACTAACAATTTGATACAGTAGCAGCTGTGACACAATATCTCAAAACAATGAAAGTTATAGCTATTTTTCTGGACCGTAAATCCAATATACACACACATTTTAAGGAGGCAAAGTAATCTGCAATGTTTTATTTGAATTCATTTAATAATAAAATAGAATAACGATATACAGCCTTACCCTTTTAGTATGACAAAAAGTTAAAGATCAGATCTAATTTGCAGATAATTCGTTATTTACAAGTATAAATTTTTTTGGTTAAGAGAATTTTTTGAACTCCATGTGATGTATACGAATATGCTTTTCTACATGATTATGTAAAACGTATTGCTGTTTGAAATCTTAATTTAATTTGATTGGTTTATTAAATCAAACTTTGGAAATTGGCCCGTCTCCACATTAGTTTCAAGATAAGTAGAATTAATGTAACTTTTCTTTTACATATTATAGAACAACCAACAACTAACAGATTCTTATTTTCCTAAGATCTAGAAGATAAGCCCTAGTCTACAATACTTAGCTCCATCAAATATCAGATCTTTATAAACAAGTAAAGCAACATAATTACTGTATATTCTTAGTAGTAAGAAGCTTATAACATATGATGAGGAAAATTTTAACGTAATCATGAAAAAACAAAAACCAGGTCAACTTTAATTAATTGTGAAAGCCGTCGAAATTTTTAGATAATAAAGAGATCATTAAAATGATTGCAATTTGAACATAATAATAAATATAATCCTTGGTTCACATTAATTTATTCGAATATATATTAATTATAAAATTGATGTAATATTAATCCAATTAACTTCTTGTTTATTTACTTGTTGAAAACTACAAAACTTTTGTAATCTCAGCAAAACCACAGTACTGTGGCTTTTATTAAATAATGGCTTAGCAAGCTTACTGTGGCGGTTAGCTTATATGGATAACAAATTGTCGCCCAATTCTGTAGAATAAGCATTGATAATTCTTTTTGAGCATTCAGGCTTATAGCTTACATATCGCTAACGCTAAGCATCAAAGTCTCACTAATCATTAAGCCTCTCTATAGTATAAATACACATGATTTGAAAATTAGAAAAAATTTCTTTTCTACAAAAAGTAAAAATCAACAGAAAAATCAAAATGAAATTCAACCTTTCTTTGCTACTTTTCACCCTTATTGCCGTTGCCTATATTGGCGATATTTGTCAAACCTCTTTTGATTGCTCTAGGGGTGAACAATGTAATTATATAAGTAAGTATCTTAGACGTATTAGATAGTTTCTTTTGCATGTAATCTAATATATTTATTTCTTTAAAGCACATACATGTAGGGGTACCCCTGCTGATTTTTTTCCAGTTTAGGTTCGGTCTCAGTTCGGTTTCATCTTGCAAACCTCAAAACTGGGTTTTTTATATAGGTTAAACCAATTATCCAAACCGGTTTGAAACTTTTTTTAAACTTAGTTTACAAATAGTTTAGAATAAGTTTATAAATTAAATTACAAAATTTATAACTGTTATTAATTGTGTAATTTGTAAATTTCTTGATAAATTTATTGTTTACAGTAAATGAATTGAATCCAAATGTTTACATTATTATTTTTTATAATATACCCACTCCGTTTTTAGTACCCTAGCCACGGCAAAAAAAAAGTGGCAGTCACGTGACGCCAATCTGATCCGACCTATTTACAAGGTCGGTAAAAATCAATAATTATAAATATCCTATAGTCGTAAAATTAAAATATTGACAAATTAGTTTGTTAAATTTTTTAATAAAAGTTAACACTTTCGTCTGAGTCAAAGAAATAAAAAATTACAGTAAAACACGTTTCAGTACTATTAAATTATTAATTATTTATGCATAAAATCTCGCGATTCGCGTTCTAAAATAGATTATTAAGGGAGGGAATCACGCTTTTGTGTATAACACACATTTATTTAAATATTTGATTAGATGGGCTGTAATACTTTAAACTTATGTACATTATGTAAGCTAATTAGCTCTCCTTTAGGTTCTAATCTGATGTTTGAACTGAATGCTTTTACATTCCTTAATTTATTACGAGGTAAATCTTTGGGATTTATATGTAATTCATCCAAATGAATTTCTTTCATTCTAAATATAGGCTTAGAGTACAGATCTTTCACAAATGAATCTAAACAAAATAAAAAAAAAAGGCTAAAATAAATCTATTTTTCACCTCCAATTATATTTATTTCTTCTTACCTAGATGATGATTAAACAATAAACAAAACACTGTAAACATCCTACCAGTATTATCTAATAATCCAATAAGAAACTAACTATAACTATTACATTTTATTGCAATTTCCAAATCGTGTTTTTTTGGCCATCCATTAAGTCTTGGAGTATGAAAGTATTTTATAGATTCTTCATTATTAAGAATTTTTTTTATTAAACATATATGATGACCTTTAATAAGATTAGTCATAACATCATATCTTATATCAATTAATCTCTAAATAGCAGGGCATTTCTTAATGAATCGTCTAACCAATTTTTCAGATCTATGAACCAAATCTTCATATTCTTGTTGTTTTTGCAGACCAGCTTAATCATCTCTTCTATCATATAAATGCCAAAAAGCTGAATAAGCATCATTAACAGCATTTACTTTAAATAGCCAATAAAGATTTACAAGTTCCTTCTTCTAAGATTGATTTGAATATGTATTAAGACTAACTTCAAACTCATGTTTTCCAATTTTTAGTAATTCAATTGATAAATTTTTGCCTTTTGGAGTAACCTAAATATATTTAAGTTGTTTCTTTAAATTTGTATCTTTTCTATACTTATTATACTATACTTGTACAGTTATCTCTCTGATGAATAATTAGATCATTTTTTTATCATTCAAGAAAGCAGACACATAATCATATTCTTTATAATATATCCAATTTTTTTTTTAATTTAATAGCAGGAATGAACATATCTTTAATAAGAGTATGTTCTAATACAGATGTAACACTTCCATCAGAACTAACAAATATAATATTTTTATAACTTCTAACTAATTTATAATTTTCAGATGAAAATAATCTTGTAGTATCATTTAATATTCTAATTGAATTGTCCATATAACCAAATAAATCCCAAACAATGATTAAGGGTATCAAATTTTCTTTTTCTTGTGCAATAATAAATAAAGATTCATTATTATTTATAAAATTTACTAAAAAAATTCTTTCAATTCAAAGAAAATTTTGTGTTAAAATTTCCAATAAATTTTCTATTAAATAAATTGTAATCAAATTAGTATCATGACAATAAGCTAATAATGAATTATATTTTGAAATAGTAATTGCAAGATTTTTAAGGCCAAATGTTATTGCTGCTGATTCTGCCCTTTGATGAAACACTATTTCCAATTTATTAGTTCTTAAATTATACATTTTTATAACTTATACTCTATTTTTATCTATATAATTAAAAAAATTTGTAATGTTTAGATTATCTGCACTGGTAGAATTATGAAGAATCAGTATATTAAGAGTCAGTTAAGAATCAGAACCAATCAGATTTTTAGTTCTTAACCGGCTCTTATTTTTTTTATTATTGAATAATCAGTATCCCGATAGGTCTATAAATTTTACCCTATGCAATACTTATACCCTATAAAAAATATATACACTGTAAGTATACTGTATTTTCATATTCTGCAAACAGTATATTTATAGTATTATTACCATATACTTACAGTATTTTCACATACTGTATATATTCGGTATTCTGCATACCGTATTATATATACGGTTTGTGTACAGTACGTTTTTCCAGTTTAACCTGTATGTTTTATACTTGTAAACAGTATATTTTATCATTTTAAACAGTATATTTATATTGTGAATAAGTATATTTTATCAGTTTAAACAGTATGTTTTATACTTGCAAATAGTATGTTTTATACTTGCAAATAGTATATTTTATCAGTTCAAACAGTATGTTTTATACTTATAAATAGTATATTATATATAATAATACTAGCCAAATTTATAAATAATGCCAGCCAAATTTATAAATGTAATATTAGTTAAATTTATTAAATAAAAATTATATATAAACACAATACAAATAATTTTATAATAAATAAAACACTAAATAATATTTAATTAAAAAATAAAAAATATATAGTATATTATTCATAATGTAAAAGAATATAAAAAATAAAGTTAGTAATATTTTAAATAAATAAAAATATATAATATTTAAGACATAAAAAATAAAAAAGATGAGTTAGTAATATGTTAAAATGTAAAAAAATGCAGTTATTAGTAATATACAGTATTAAAAATAAATAAAAAAAAATGCAGTTAATATTTATTAAAATATAAGAAAAATGCAGTTAGTAATATTAATTAATAATGTATAATGAAATTGTAAAATAATAAATAATATATACTAGAGTTTGGAACTGGTTGCACCAACTGGTTTAAAAATCGGTTCCAACTGATTTTTTGACAATTCGTTTGACCCGAATTCATATTCTGAAACCAGTTTGCGTTTAAAACAGGTGCAACTGGATTTCCAACCCGGTTTGATATTGAAACTTTATAGTGCTGGCCCGAATTACGAATTAAAATCACATGACTATGGCTAAATAGTTTAGCCACCAGGTAAGTTATGTTACACAAAATTTTATTACAGATAATTGTGTCCCACAAAATTTCGTATTGTATTACACAAGGGTTGTAATTCCGGCCGGAATTATAACTTGGCCAGATTTATGCCGATCACATTTAATTCTAGCCGGAATTATCAAATATATACGATTCGGTTATTCAGTTTCAATCAGGTTTTGCGAAATCGGTTTGAAACGGATCAAACTGGTTGCACCCGTTTTAAATTCGGTTTTTGAAAATAGAACCGGTTCTAAACTCTAATATATACCTGAACTTAAATAACTTTGCTAACAAGAAAAAAAGAAAAAAGAAAAGAGAACAATATTTAAAAAATAAACAATAGATTGTTATTTATTTATTTATAATTAGTTCATGATTAACTATTTTTAGAAAATCATATGTATAAATGCATATGATCAGCTAAATTTTGATTGGTCAAACATTAAATAATTATTACCTACTGTAAAAATTTTTAAAAGTTTTATTTTAATAATTTAAAAGCCAGTTTTATTTTTCATATTTAAATTAATTATTCTTAAAAAGTTTACCTGAAAGAAAGATTGAAGAATTTAATAAATTTAAAGTTTTGTTTTTAAAATTATATCTAAAAAAAGAAAAATTCATGTAAATTTTTTTTTAATTAATTTACAGTTTATTTTTTTAACAATTATTGTTTAAAAAGAAAGAAAAATTCCCACAAAATTTTCTTGAAAAGATCATTTAAAGTATTTTTATTTAATTAATTTATAGTTTACTTTTTTTTTAACAATCATTATTTAAAAGGAAAAAAAATTTCTGTAAATTTTCTTGAAAAGTTTAATTAATTTAAAGTGTTTTTTTTAATTAATTTACAGTTTATTTTTTTAACAATCATTGTATAAAAGGAAGAAAAATTCTTGCAAATTTTTCTTGAAAAGCTTAATCTTTGAGAATTTTGTCTTTGTTTTTTGGGATTTAATTTTAATCACTATTCCTTTAAGAATTTTCATTTTTGGTTTTTGGGATTTAATTACACTTTATCTAATTATCTAATCTTTGGGATTTTTTGCCTTTGGTCTTTGGGATTTAATTACACTTCAATTTAATCACTATTTCTTTGAGAATTTTTATTTTTAATCTTTGGGATTTAATTACACTTTATTTTAATCATCAAATCTTTGGGATTTTTCGCCTTTAGTCTTTGGAATTTAATTACACTTTAATTTAATCACTATTTCTTTGAGAATTTTCATCTTTAATCTTTGGGATTTAATCACACTTTATTCTAATCATCAAATCTTTGGAATTTTTCACCTTTGGTCTTTGGGAATTAATTACACTTTAATCTAATCACTATTTCTTTGAGAATTTTCATCTTTAATCTTTGGGATTTAATCACACTTTATTCTAATCTTCAAATCTTTGGGATTTTTTGCTTTTAATCTTTGGGATTTAATTACACTTTAATCTAATCACCATTTCTTTGAGAATTTTCATCTTTAATCTTTAGATTTAATTACACTTTATTCTAATCATTAAATCTTTGGGATTTTTCGCCTTTAATCTTTGGAATTTAATTACACTTTAATCTATCACTATTTCTTTAATTACATTTTATTCTAATCATCAAATCTTTGGGATTTTTTGCCTTTGGTCTTTGAATTTAATTACACTTTAATCTAATCACTATTTCTTTGAGAATTTTCGTCTTTAGTTTTTAGAATTTAATTATACTTTAATTTAATTATCAAATCTTCAAGATTTTTCATCTTTGGTCTTTAGGATTTAATTACACTTTAATTTAATCACTATTTCTTTGAGAATTTTCATCTTTAATCTTTGGATTTAATTACACTTTATTTTAATTATCAAATCTTTGGGATTATTCACCTTTGGTCTTTGGAATTTAATTACACTTTAATTTAATCACTATTTCTTTGAGAATTTTCGTCTTTAATCTTTGGGATTTAATCACACTTTATTTTAATTATCAAATCTTTGGAATTTTTCACCTTTGGTCTTTGGGATTTAATTACACTTTAATTTAATCACTATTTCTTTGAGAATTTTTGTCTTTAATCTTTGGATTTAATTACACTTTATTCTAATCATCAAATCTCTGGGATTTTTTGCCTTTGGTCTTTGGGATTTAATTACACTTTAATTTATCACTATTTCTTTAATTACATTTTATTCTAATCATCAAATCTTTGGGATTTTTCGCCTTTGGTTTTTGAATTTAATTACATTTTAATCTAATCACTATTTCTTTGAGAATTTTCGTTTTTAGTCTTTAGAATTTAATTATACTTTAATTTAATTATCAAATCTTCAAGATTAGGATTTACTTAAATTCTATTGGTTAATTGACTAAAAAGGAAAAAAATTATAACAATATAACATAAAATTTCCTTTCATAGTAGGATCTTTAAAGAGTTTTATATGTAAACCTTACTTTAGGCCACAGGATGACCTATCTTAATAGTAAGCGGGTCCTAAATAAATGATTAGAACTTTCTATCCTACCATCACACTAATTTTTTAAATATTAACTGCTTCTCTTATTATAATACTTTTAAAAATATTTGCTAAAAACAATATGCTAAAAATTTATATTATAAATTTATTAGAAATATAAAATTTTAAATTATTAAGTAATATTATTAATATTCTTATTTCAATATTTTGGATGAAGAAAAAATGCAAGCATATAAATATTAATATCAAATTCCTTTTATCTTTTATTAAAAATAGTTTGTTTAAAATTAAGATTTTGAAAAGAAATTGTTAATATTACTTGTGCCATTTTAAGTAATACAATAAAACAATCAGTTAATATAGTTGTATTCAGTTTAAGGGATTTTATAGCATTTTTTGCAAAATTTAAGATTATTTTTAGTTGTTTTACATCACACCAAAACTGTTAATTTTGAATGATAGTTTTAATTTTAATAGCATTAATAAATATTTCAGGCTGTTTATTAAGAATCTTTATTAAATATAAGTATGTTAGCATATATCATATATATATAAAGTAAATATAAAATAAATTTAAAATATACTAATATATTTAATGCTATTTTCTAAATATAAAATTGAGTCACAAACATTTCATGTTATGCTTCAACGTATTTTAACTGAAAGTTTTAAATTATCTTTAGAAAAAAAATTAATTTCATTATGTAATGCAACTTCAGTTTAATATATATTATAAAAAAATGAAACAATTATTTGATACCTTTGTAATGTTTTTTTTATCCATTTAATTGAAATTATATCTTTAGTTACTAAATTAATATGGTGAACTATACATCTAACTGTCATTATATGTGGATGCTTATTTATTACTCTCCTTTTAACTAATTGCATTGCAGTTTCTGCATCTGAAACAATTGCTATAAATTTGTCTTTACTTACATCTTTAATAACTTTAAGCATTTGCTTTTTATTGAATTTAGCTGTATGATGTTGAAATGAAAAATTATCAATTGAATATATATATTGGCGTTGAATAGGAGTTATAATTACAAAAGTATAAATACTTTGTTTAAGTAAACTGGTTCATAAATCAATTTCTAATAATAAAAATTATTTTAATATTTTAATAGGACCCCGGAAAATACATATATAGGTCATAAATGATCTGCACAAAATTATGGGTATTTCGCTACCCTTAAAATCAGTTGAATTCGCCAAAAATTGAATTATTACATACAAATTTAGTATTAATTCGCCAAAACTAAAGCATGACTTTATTTTTATATGTAAATAAATATGTAGAAAAAAAATTTATTTATTATATTTATTAAGATTTTATTTATTATTACTTTTAAGGAGTGCATTAAAATATTCCTTTGCTTGTCCTTTAAGAATTAATGCTTCTTCACTAATAATAACATCTTTTAATACCAAATGATGAATAATATGAGAAGCTTTAGTATGAGAAAAAATTAAAAAATGATGATCCCGAATCTCTGAAAAAATTGCACCATTAACATGAAAGAAAATTTTCATAGATACATAAGAAAGAGATTTGAGATCTGAAACAGGAGTATCAGTATATGAATGCATCAAGGACTTTTGTTCATACATGGCAATGATTTGAGCAACACAAAATGTATTGTCAAATTTAGCTATTACGAAAGATCCGATTTGTAACGGTAAAAAAGCAGAGTTATCAGCACGTGGATGATCTAAAAATAGAAACAATATGAAAAAAATTCATCTTTTAACAATTAACGATTAATAGATTAGTTTACCTTTTGTGTTATTATCAGTCTTTTTATTTGATTTCCATCTATTTTCTCGTGATTTAGTCAAGGTAGAATCATCATTTTTCGTTAAATATGAAACCAAATTACTGGCTATATTAACATCAAGTTTATCTAAAGTATTATTTTCATTGTTTCTAAAAACAGTTTTTGTTCGTTCAAGATTTCTACTCGTATAGGC